GTTCTATACCTGAAGGGTGACCAAGGGCCATAATCTTGTGGTTCCACTAGTCTCTATATGGACATTGTTGTTGTTAAGTGCCTTCAAGTCAGTTCCGACCCGTAGCGACCCTATATAGGGTTTCCTAGGAGCAGCTGGTGAGCTTGAACCGCCGACCTTGCAGTTCAAACGACTTTGTAGTCTGGTGCATTAACCCACAGGGCCACACCAGGACTCCGGATGAACATTAAGCCTGGTCATTCTTATGATTTAGAATTTTGTTCCACTTTTTCTCCCACTCTATCCAGGACCTTCTAATGTGATCCCTTTCAGAGCAGTTGGGAGTGGTAGCCGGGCACCATCTAGTTCTTCTGGTCTCAGAGTTGGGAAGACTGATGGTCACATGGACTCATTCTTTCTAAGCTACTTCAATTTCTGTCACTCGTCTTTCCTCCAGACAGGGCAAGACCATTAGTTGTACTTTAGATGGCTGCTCATCAGTAAAGTTTTTTGGTTTTGTTTTTTCTAAATTAAGGGAATGATAAATTCAGGAGTATGATTACTTACTTAAGACAGGGGACAGGTTTGTAAGGTAGCACTTGGGTAGAGGGAAGTTATTGATGAGGTTCCATTTCTGGGGTTGGGTGGTAGCAGGTACACTGGTTGTTATTGTAAAGTGCCATCGAGTTGGTTCTGACTCGTAGTGACCCTGTATAGGGTTTCCAAGGAGCAGCTAGTGGGTTTGAACTGCTAATGTTGTGGTTCACAGTCCAGTGCTGATCCTATAGCGCCACACCAGGAGCCCATTGGTGCTTGCTATAAATTAATTAACATGTAAATTAAAACAGGCATATATGGACCCATTATAAGAGTACATTTAAAAAACAAAACAACAATTATAATTAGTCTGTTTTTGTGCATCTGAGCTCCAGGAGGGGGAAGGGGTATAGATATCTATATGTAAAAGAATAAGTTGGACCCCTACCTCACACCATACACAAAAATTAGCTCAAAATAGGTTGTTGTTGTTGTTAGGTGCCATTTAGTTGGAACCAACCCATAGCGACCTTATGCACAGCAGAATGAAACACAGCGCAATCCTGGGCCAACCTCACTACTGTTGCCACACTTGAGTCTATCAATGCTGCCACTGGCCAATCCATCTTGTTGGGGGTCTTCCTCTTTTTCTCTGACCCTCCACCTTATCAAACATGATATCCTTCTCCAGCGACTGGTCCCTCCTAACAATATGTCCGAAGTATGAGAGACAAAGTTTGGCCATCTTGGCTTCCAAGGAGCACTCTGGCTGTACTTCTTCCAAATCGGATCTATTGGTTCTCTTGGCAGCCCATGGTGCTTTCAATTTTCTTCTCCAACACCATAACAAAATGGGTTAAAGACCTAAACTTTTAGAAGACAAAACTTTTCTAAAAGACAAAACTTTTAGAAGAAAACATAAGAGTACATCTTTGCAATCTTGGTTTACCTTGGGTTTGGAAACCGTTCTTTAGATTTGATGCCTAGAAAAAAGCAACAAAAGAACTCATTGGCTAATTGTTGTTGTTGTTGTTAGGTGCCATTGAGTCGGTACCGACTCATAGCGACCCTATGACTCCATTAAAATAAAAAACTTCTGTGCATTAAAGGGTACCATCAAGAAAGTGAACAGATAGCCCACAGAATGGGAGAGAATATATGCTTATCTGATTAAGTGCTGTTGTTGTGAAATGTCGTTGAGTTGGTTCCAACCCATAGCGACCCTGTATAGGGTTTCCGAGGACCAGCGGTGAGCTTGAATTGCCAACCTTGCAGTTCAAACGGCTTTGCAGTCTGGCACATTAACCCACAGTGCCACACCAGGACTCTGATAAAGCACTAGTTTCCAGAATATATTAAAAAACTCAGGGAGCGCGGTGGTGACATAGGATAAACACTGGACTGTGGACCGTAGAATACATAAAAGACAGTGAAAAGACAAATAATGCAAAGAAAAAAAATGAGCAAAGAATCTCAGTAGATGTTTCTCCAAAGAAGATATCCAAATGGTCAGTCACTGAGTGCAGGAAAAAACAGCATTCTCATCAGGGGAATGCAAAGCCAATCACAGCGAGATTAAAATGGCATATTTTATACTATATGTTTTTAACACACACAAGACAGCCCATAATGAGCTGCCACTTCACACCCACTAGAATAGTTCTAAGCAAAAAGATGTTGTTGTTGTTAAGTGCTGTTGAGTCAGTTCTGACTCACTGTGACCCTGTATAGGGTTTCCAAGGAGCAACTGATGGGTTTGAACCACCGACCTCGCAGCTCAAACTGACCTTGCAGTTCAGTGCATTATCTTAGCAAACATTGGTGAGAAAATTGAAGCCCTCATACATTGCTGGTGGAAAAGTACATTGGTACAGCTGCTTTGGAAAACATTCTAGCTGTTACTCAAAAGGCTAAACATAGAATTAACATAAACCAAACTGTTGCTGTCAAATGAATTCCAACTCTTAGTAATCCTGTTGAACAGAATGGAACTGCCCGATAGGATTTCCAAGGCATTGGCGTGGGGCTGTAGGATAAGCACTGGACTGCAAGGTAGGCTTGCATCACAAGGTCGACTGTTCAAACTCACCAGCCACTCCCTGGAAATAATACAAAGGGTTGCTAAGAGTCTGAAACGACAGGACAGTACTTAACAACAACAAATTATTACAGAAGCAGACAGCCACGTCTTTCTCCTATGGGTTCAAACCACTGACCTTTTGATTAACATACAATGTATGATTCCATTTAGCCACTGCACCACAGGGTTCCTTAATGTTATCATTGTTGTTGTTGTTAAGTACTGTTGAGTAGGTGGGCCGAGCTTTCTGGTGGAAGAGACACTCCAGTGAGTGTTTAAGGGGAAAATCCAGTTTCAGCTATCATCAGAATGTACAGTGTTGCTTCCACAGTGTCAGAAACACTGGCCTGCCTCCTCTCCCAGATATCTCAACCATGTGTGCTCGCCTGGACTGGCAGAGACCAAGGACCCCTGGTGGCACCGTGGTTTAAATATCATCTTCTCTCATAAATATTTACAGTCTCAGGAAACCTTATAGGAGCCGCTCTACTCTGTTCTATGAGTCAGAATCAATGCCACGGCAGTGGGTTTCAGTGGGTTATGCCTGGGTTTACGGACTTCTCTTTGGGTGGATTATTTGTCCAACTTCAGAAACTCCTACTCATCCTTCAAAACCCAGCTCAAAAGTCATCTCCTGCGGAAACCATTCTGATTGCTTTCATAGCAGGTGGTGAAGTGGAACAAGCTCACGCATTGTTGTCTGTGCTAAGTGTCACGCTTAGAGTGTCTGTGCCCTGAAATGGAGGCATTGGCCCTGGCTGAGTCTAGTTGTGAAGATGAGTATAAAGTACACCTGGCATCCCATGGGAATCACAAAGGAAACTTCTGTTTGGTGGCTCCTGCCTTTTGATTTGTACTAGAGCTAGCTGACTCTGCCTTAAGCCTAAAAGCAGGAACAATGGCCCCCACAGGGGCGAACCCAGTGGGCAGCAAAGAGAGCCATGGTTTCTGTGGGCACTGCAGAGACAAAGAACGGAGATTGTCTACCGTTCACCTGTAACGTGACTTTGGGGAAATGACATCATCTCTGTGAACTTGTTTCCTCTTCTCTAAAATATCGTAACCTATATTAGGTATTCACCTCCTACTTCTTAGGTGCTCAACATTCACTATCATCACCCCATTTTACAGAAGAGAAAGCTGAGGCTTGTAGAGGGTGAGCGGCTTATCAAAGTAAGCAGCAGGGCAGGACCTCTTGGCTACCAGTCAAACTCAGAAAATTGTGCGAATCCAAGGGGGAAATGTGAAATAGCCCTGCAAATGGTAAACGTCTGGGTGGGCACGTCTGTGCCTGGGGGCGTGGTGAATGATGGCCGGGTGAAGGGGGACGGAGAGTGTCAGATTTCAGGAAGGTGGCAGGGAGATCGGTTTGGGTTGTGATCCTGGGGTGCAGCCGGAGGCTTGGCGCCGCGCGGCTCAGCCTGGGTGGGGAGGGGTGCGGCCTGTCCCCTCCCCGCCCCACCCCCAGCCCCGGCGCCGCGGCCCCT